ACGGACATTGTGTCCCGAAGTTTTAAGGTCACTGGGATATCCAACAGCCTGGATGGCACTGGAGATGACTGTTTGTGGAATGATGGTGCTCCGCAACACACCATCTCGGACTCCAAGTTAGAGGACTCGTCGAGTGACGACGATTAAGCGCACACACGGCATACTGCTATAAACACTCTTCGTTCGCTAACTGGTACATTGTTTTTAGTTCACCAAAAAAAAAAAAAAAGTTCCGTGTATGGGCCGCACCCTGAAAATTGGCCCTCATTTCTTTAAAAAAAAAGTGTGGCCCTTACACGCGTTTATAAAGTAGTTTTGAACGGCTGTTGAGAAGTTCAGGCATTTCTCGCAAAAATTGCGTGGCACTGTGGATCCTTCTTTTTGTATTCATGACACCTAAAGATAGGGAATGGGCTACCATCTGTCACAACACACAGCACATTCTGTCCCTTAGTTAGACACATACACAGTTCAACTACCAGTACAAGTCCAATCAATTATGTCTGAAAACTTCACCGGCAGTCATCAGAGGTGGAAGCGGGCTTCAGTCTTTTGGAGCAGCTTTGCGAGTAGGAATAATGTGGTTTTGAAGCAGCTTTGTAGCAGTAAAAAAGGGAGCTTCGGAGTAGCTCTGGAGCATCGAAATTGAGTTTTAGAGCAGATTTCTCAGGCCACACATCTCTGTTAATCCGAATTTTCGCTTCCTGGTAACCACAAAAAAAATTCAATGGTTTTGACTTAGCATGCAATGCTGATCAAGCGAGCAGGCTTACCCAAAATTAATATATATTAAACCTTACAACAACAAAGGAGAAAGTGCAGCAACTCAAAGAAAAAACATAAGCAGCATTCTGCACAGCTACTAGACCCCAGATGAATGAAAATATTTACTGATAAAATGTTGCAATGTTCAAAATGTGATTAAAACGCCCCATCTAACATGAACACAACTCAAGACTATAGATGAGCTATTTTATAATAAAAGTTATCCTCATACTAAACTCATAAGGCTCTATAAAAATAAATGTAAAAGACTTATGTTCGTGCCACAGCGGACATGAGAACCACGAAGAAGTTTAGATGCGCTCGCCTCGCCAATGCCAGGCAATTAAATGAAAATTTTTTTTATTATGATAGGAAGTATATGCACACCACTCGACGAGTTTTCACCATCACTGCCATGTCCAGCATAAACTACAAGTTGGTACCATTTCCCACGCATAGCACGTTTAACCTGTGCATAAAATTGCAAAAGCTGGGGCGATGAGCGCTGCCCAAGCAGAGATCAAACGAGACGATTTCCGTCACTCGGAAGGCGCACATGTTAGCATCCCACCACGTGTAAGAACTGCTGTGAAATGCTCAAGCAGAAAGGACACACGCCGCCCGTCTTGAGCGAGCATGAAAAAACATGAGGGAAAGGGAGCTCGCTCGAGCAGCAGCTGTGAACTTTGATTCTCATCAAGGATGTGGTTGTGATAGCTGACCCGCACAATATCGGCAAGCATCAGATCATGGCTCGTAAACCATTTTATGTGGTGCACTTTCAACCGGAAGAGATTGTGCGATAAGATAATTTCTCCCTGGAGCTAACGTACTTTCTCTCCTACACTAACATTTTGTAGCTGCCGTAGTCACAATGTGGGATTCAAAAGAGTTAGGTGTCAGCCTTCGAATTGTCACGAGGTCGTGATGTCGAGGAAGGCAGCAGCCGCTGTTTTCATGAGTGAACTATTTATTTGGGCTAACCTGTGTCCGGGAAACAGAACGTCACTCTACAAGCAATACACACTGTAGAATGTTAGCAACAAACATAGAGCGTCTGCCATCAATAATCTATCACGCAGCAAAATACTTCGGCATTTATACATGTGCCATCGAAGACTCAAGCGTTATCGCTAGCGGCCGCAAAAGTTACAAAACAACTAGTGATGTACTCGTTCTGCGCGTAATCTCATCGAAAGATTCTTAAACTGTCCCCATCATAGCTCCCAAAGACAACAGCTTTCGGCAACGTTAGCGCAGCTCGACGACCGGCCACTTTCGGAGAAGTCAATTTTGGAGTGCCGGAACATTCAACCTTCAAGCCAGAAAGTGATGAAGGCACTGCTGAAGTTTCTGCGGTCAACCGGACTCGCTAAACAACTGTGAGATAGCTGTGCTTGAGTGTGTGCACGTTTCCTTTTTTCTTTTTAACTATCCCTTTTTCTCCTTTTTCCCATCTTACCTTTTCATGTATATTTCTCTTTCTGCAGGTGTAGGGTAGCAAACCTGAAATTTTCTTCTGGTTAACCTCCCTGCCTTTTACTCAACCTTATTTTCTCTCTCTAAAATTATTCAGATGGTCCCCAGCCATTCGGGTGCAGCTCGCACAAGGCAGTGTTACAGGTGTAATGGTGCGGTAACAAAAAAAGAAAGGAAGGAGCGCTTCCGGCATCACCATTACAATATTACAAATTGTTGCTATTGCAGTCATCGCTTTGCCGGCTACACTGAATTTTTTTTCTTTTTTCAGCTTATATGGCAAAAAACTCGCCGCACTGTTTCCGAGCAACTGCAGAGCACAGGACGCGCTCGGCGGTTGCTCGGCAGCGTTGCAGCGAGTTTTTTGCAACAGCACTGCGGTCTTTATAGTTTGCCTAACAGATTTGCTGCTAAAGCACATATAGAGTCGCATAATGAAGTATGCCCAGAACGTCACCTTAACAAGAATCGTGCATTGTTTTCGCATAGGGCAAGATTCATGCATGATCCGAAATACGTTTGATATAGATGTGGAATTTTATATAGAAACGGTTGCGTACTTTGTGAGGCCCACGCGTGCTGCTCAGTCACTGATAAAACTCTGGGCTAAATTTGGCATTGCACGTGTGAATTGCCGCATAGGCGCGGACTCAGCACAGCACTTCTACCCCTGAGTCCTTCAGAGCTATCTACGATGTCGCTGCAGCCCCAAGAAGTAGTAAATCAAAATGTACACAAGTTAACTTTTTTAGCGTCAAAATGCTTGTTTTACGAATCTCAAGGTCTCCAGATTGACAGGCATGTATATGTGAATGCTGCCTCATAACACATCTTGGTAATTTATTTATTTATTTATTACATGCTATGGACACAAAGCCCATATGGAGTAAATAAAATACATTAGGTCAACAAAAATTAAAAATTAGGGGACCCTCGAGCTTTGCCTTTAAGAGTTGAACACGATAGCGATATCTCGTTCCTAGTGCATACTTTACTTAGTGCACGAAACCTTTTCAAACTTGCTATGTACCCACTACGTGGCCTTAAGGGATTAGGTGCAGTAGCGTGTGTGCCTTTTGTAGTGGTTTGTAGTGGATGACAGGTTTTAAGCCACGAAGTCATTATAATTTTGATTAAATAGTCAACAACGCGCTGAATGAGCAACCACACAGAGAAAGCAACACACAGACACCACGGGCGCTCACTTACAACTGTTTATTCCTTGAAGAAACAGGCTAATATAAACCCACTCTTCGTCGACACATGCGAAACATGATCAGCCCTTCCCTTACGTAATAACGCTATCGGACACATGCTCTCTAGATAACGTGTTTCTGACTTCTACAGGTTTAGTGACGTTTTGCTTACACATTTATTACCCCATTTTTTTTTTATGTGATATGCCTCCGAAATTTCCTGTGCTAACTTGTTTGTACTTCTTCCCGGGATCCTAATCTGCGTGAAGTATGGGGTGCATCCACAAGCTGTAACATGCGCGCTTAGATGTGAATCGTCCTTATTCTTTCTTCCTTGCATCATTATGGAAGGAAGACTTCCTATTACAAGTTAGCATGGGAAATTTCGGAGGCATATCACATAAAAAAATGGGGTATTAATAAGCATGAGTCAGAAAACTGTATGAGTAAGAAATGAGTCCGATAGCGTGATTACGTAAGAGAAAGGCTGATCATGTTTCGCATGTGTCGACGAAGAGTGGGTTTATATTAGCCTGTTTCCTCAAGGATTAAACAGTTGCATTTGAGCATCCGTGGTGTCTATGGGTGTTTCTTTCTCTGTGTGGTTGTTCACTCGGCGCGACGTTGACTATTTAATCAAGACATGCACCTACTAGCCCAACAGTGAGTTCTACTAAAGTCATTATGAAATCACTAGTTCTGACGCCCGATGGCAATGGTCGCTTGTACCACGCATTATTACCGCAATATTTGATGCATTGTGAAGCATGTATACAGGACACATGTGTTTGTGAAGCATAAAAGCTACTTTCACTGCATTTTCAAGCAGAGGACGTTCTTTTCACTGTTTTCCCAAGCATAGGAGTGGCTTTGTGATAGGACATCCGCTTGCTACGCAATCAACCCGGTTTCGATCTTTACTCCGACTCAGACTTTTTTAAATTTATTTTATTTGCATCGTTCTCAATTTTTCGGTTATGCATACGATGATAATTATTCGCTCACAACCAATGACGCCGACGCCGAAATTTCTGCAAAACGAGCTTTTAACGCTATCACGTTAGCAATCATGAAAGCTGAATGATACGGTTGTGGGCACAGAACCGGAAAAACAGGAAAACACGGTTTTAGTGAAGGCCACTTCAACGTAAAATATTACACCATTTAGAGAGGTAAGCCCTTTCAATCCATAATGATGCAAGGAAGAAAGAAGTATTTGACTACGTTAGTTCAAGCAAAATTGGGGGTTAAAGCATTTGGGTGATGGTGCCCCGAATCACATGAATCATAATTTCTAACAATTAAAACTTCTCGCAATCGAAACAACATCCCAGGTTCCACTCACATTTGTATTTTAGAGAGCCTAGCTGATTTATGCCACACAGCTTCCTTTGGTACAAAGTAGAGAAGTATTTTTACAATTGTTCCCCAAGCAGAAAATGGCAATGCTTGCTGAAATTGAGCTCTCGACATCATGCTATGCAGACGAATGAAGGGAATTCAATCACTGAACCCGATTTTGAAATGACTTTCAAGAGATGGCCTTGGGAAGGAACCCACCTTCCTTTGCCCCTGGCGCTCCCACTGGCGCAACGCCCTGGGTGCGTCCCTCTGCGCCTGCTTGTAAGCAAGCACAGCTGCATGCGAACACTGGGCAGCCGCCTTGCCCTTCTCCATCTTGATGTCGGCACGCACCACCAGCACCAGCTTAAATTCACTGCTGTCGTCGCCGCTACTCTGCAAATCCACACCAAGACCAATCGAGGCTTCGGCAACACTCAAAACCTTGAATGAGCACTGAAACTTGTCTAACAGCAGCGGTACTGTAACACCCAGCCAAGACAGTGCAGTAGACATTTTTCTGTAGTACACTCTCAAAGCAGTTGCACTCTTCGAGGTGTCCATGATAATACCAATGAGTAGGAGTGTGCAAATATACAAAATTTCGAATATGTTTGTAATAGTGTTTGCTAGGCTAGTGCGAATAGTGGTTTTGGTTATAATTTTCAATCTAATAGTATACATCACATGTTATAAGAAAAAACGGGTATATTTGTCATGATCTAATGATAAATATTTTTCAAATTGAAACAAGGCCTGAGCAAATGCCATTTTTCAGTTCAAAGGAAGCGAAAAACAACTTTGAATAATAGCGGGATTTGACTTTTGGTGTAATGCAAGTGATAATCAGCAAAATATGTTATGTTTTAGTATTTACTGTACTTAGAGCAGACAAGCCGGTATAACTAACATTTAAACATCGAAACTGATGAATCGATGTGAGGTTATGTTCATTTAGCCTTGAAGTGTGGAATTTCTAATAACTTAGGCCTTTTCACGGCTCAGAATCCCTTCACTGCAGTGAAACCATCATTCCAGGAAGTTACATGAGAATTATAATACACATTTGAATAGGTGCTTTCACAGCTTAGCAGTCATTTACTGCAGTGAAATCACCTTTGCGGAGATTAAACGCGAACTAATATACATTTATGGAATACTTGAAAATCTTCAATAACCTAAATTCAAATCGAAGCGAGTTTGAATATTCCAAGCATTCAAGTATTCGCGCGAGCCTAGAGTTTGCTAGTGGATTCACACTGAAACATTTACTATTCGAACTTTTCAAAAACAAATGCAGTCAACGTTTGATTAAAAGCAACACCTTCAGACCTATGATATGCTTCACGTCACACATTTTGGTACTGCGGCAAAGCTGCCTATCAGGCTCCACTACGGTCGGAAATGTATTGACTCGAGAAATTGCTTATTCCAACAAAAAAAAATGATAGATGTGGCAGAGCTGGGGGTTTAATTAATGCCGTCTTGGACCTGAAATTTGGGCACGAAGTCTGAAAAATCAGATGCTGAAGATTTTTAGCATACCAAATTTCATATGAAGTTCTGAATGAGATCTAAGAGACAATCGTGCCAAGGAAAGTGTTTTTTTTTTTTTCGCTATGTTTATGAAGTGCCGACGGAGTGGCACTTCAATTCAATTCATCTTTTATTCCATTTTTCTATCAATACACAAAAAAAATGGAGAAGGCCCGAACAGAAAGTGAAACACCATTCACTTGAAGGTGATTCTGGCCCCCTTACAAGGTATACAGCAGAACAGTGGATGTGATACAAAGAAAAACGTCGATACACGCATATGTGCCAGCACATACATTTCGTATATTCGAAATGTACTGTGCCAGCACAGTACATTTCGTGTTTTGCTGTTTTTTTTTTTTTGAAAAATAAATATTCTTGGTACGTGTGAGAAACCGCACGCTATACTTCTGAAATGAGAGAGGCCTTCATTACATTTTGCAAAAGAAGAGAGAAATAACAACATTATATAAATGCATATAAACTCATAAGAAACAAAAAAAACAACGTACAACTTCTCATAGGCGTAAACTACCGAAGATACACAAAAAAATGACCCGATGTTTTCTTACTAGTTGATTCAAACATAGTTGTCTTATCAAGAATGAAGCAATGCAGAGGACAAATTGTATTAGATTTGGTGCAACTATAGTGTTGCCGACAACACTACATAGGAAAGGCAAAAGACGCTCAGCCTCTCCTCCTCTGTCAACTTCTGTGGAAGCCCAGTACAGCGTAGTCCCTATCCTAGGTGTACACTTGAGGAAGGGGGTAGCGATTGAGATGAAAATGTGTCAGTGGTAATAAACTGGAGCTGACTGGTCCCAGCCTGACACCAACCGGTACCAGTTCGGGGCCATTTGTGACCAGTCGAGGACAAGCTGGGACCAGAAGGCTCACATCCATTCCCAATAAGGGGAAAGCTGAGGCCAGCTAGGGCCTTAACTGGGCCAGTTACTACGAGCAGGGAGCTAAGACCACACTCAACTGGCACCAGCCGGGTGCCAACTGAGCACACCTGGACAGTTACTGAAGTCTCGCATCACTTGGACCAATACAAATTCCTCTTAGTTGCACATACTCATCTGCGAGACCAGTGTCCTGCATGTTAAACTTGCTAGTCTTGTAAAGGTAATGCTGCTCTTTTACTGTTTCATCAGGTAGCATCATGCGAACTGTTGCTCGTTAAATATTTTTTTTGCTGCAGTAGGCAACATTTATTAGTGCTTTCTGCTGTTTCTCTGAAAAACCAAGCATTTGTTGAGTGTTAATTAATATTGTTCTTTAGTTAATAGATCAATGCTGACTGATCCTGGCACACAAACATGAAGACATCTGCGTTCGATAACTGATTGAATGAAAAAATAACTAGCGCTCACAGATCAATAATTACAACTCTGTGAGATACAGCCACTTGTGACATATTATGCAATATGCAAGGCTGGAATGAACATAAGCAAACTAACACTTGACAAACCTAAATGGTTGCTTTTACATTCCCTGAAGTAGCTCAAGGCTCGTAAGCCATAATGTCAGTTTTGAGAGCTCTTTTAAATGCAAGAACGGTAACATCAAAATGCTGCATATAATACAACCGGGTGATTCCATGAGAGATCGACACGGGTCCAAAAGTTGATATTTTAGATTTCATTGAGTATTTTATATTTCGTGCACCTCTCACCAGGTAGCCCGAAAGTCAACTTTGTTTTATGATTAACAGCATAACTTAAGAGAAAAAAGAATATCAAACTTCACCAACACGGAGGCACCAATTTCGTCACCTGTCATTTTCGAAAATTGCAGATGCTATAAAAAGACAAATATTTTTGTTTCAAGGAAGATATTTTTTACCTGAAATGCAGGTCTAATGAAGAATGAATTCATACGGTTTCAAGTTTGTAGACCTTTTTAAAAATGTCTAATTTTGCAACAGTTTAAAGTAAGTTACGTATTCCCCATTTTTTTCTCCGAAAGTAATGCAAGCAGCGTTTTCAAACTTGACACGTTTTAAGGATATAGTGTGTTCATTAGGTTCATAAATTATTGCTGCCGTAGGGCAAATGTAAATTTTTATATATTGCCTCGAAGTTCTCATATTGGCAAAAGTGTACTCCACTGAAATTTGAATAATAAAAAAACCCCATCTTCGATTTTTCTTAAAATCTCGTAAATAGACAACCGAAGGCCATCATACAGTAATATAGAAAAACATGTTGCATTATTTTATTTTTAGCGACAATATGCATGCTACAAATCAGAGCTTTTCGAGAATGCGCTGATACTCGTATTTCACTCGTATTTCGAGATCCAGGCTTCGACATCAACGCTGTCCGTACCGCTGAAGTTACCAGAACCGTGCACCTGAGTCAATACCACTGGCTGCACCGGAACCGCAGTCAAAGTAGAAGCCACGAAATTTCCTTCTGTTGACATTTCGGAGCTGTCCAGACCACGTTCACTGTGTAATTCTATCTTTCGTCATACCTAGCACCCCGCACCAAAATGTTGCAAATACATTAGTTTATTTACTTCTTTATTCGATAATGCCAGCTTGCATGCTAAGTCATAGGCAGGAGTGGATTACTTATTTATACATATACATTTGATTTTACATTTTCCAATGCAAGAAACAACAGAAAGGACTTATAACAAGAACAATGCATTAAGTAAAAAAAAAATCTATGAGTTTTAACTTAGAAAAATTGAAAACAAGAGTCAATGTAATACTTTTTCTCCATTTTTGCACAGAATAAGCGAGTTTAGCTTAAAGGGACACTAAAGCCAAATAACAATTTACGTCAGAGTGAAAGGTCAATGTATGACATCTAAAATGACAATATTATCAACAACAGTGCCCTACTTACCGAGAAGTTAAGGTGAATGCACAAGAACACAAGCGCCACAGTAAGAAATCTTCAAAATTATCCTGATGACATCAGGCGGACCGCCTACAATTAATCACTAGTAATCGATCTAACTGCACCACATAAAGAACTTTCCGTGCATCAAGAGACGCAATAAAATGCTGCTTGTTCGTTTCTGTTAGATTCATGAAAAAAAAAAAAACTGCCGGAAGTTACTATGGGGAATAGCAAGAGTGGTTCAAAAATTAAATTTTCGCATGGTTACACGGTAAAGGTGGTGCCATATAGCAGGGTGCAGTTGAAACAAAAGCATCTGAAATCTCGAAGCCAATGGCGGGAAATTGATCAATGGCCGTTGTTGCTGCTTCGGCTCCCGCTGCTTTCAGTTTGCTGCTACTAGAGCAGTAAAGCCGGGGAATGTTGTGCATGGCAACAGTGATGTGAAACGGTCCAGTCGGTTCGCTTCTCGAGGCGGGTAATTCGAAGTGCGCTAACCCGATGCGGAGCAGCTATATTGTGATTTTATTTCAAATTAGGCCCTACCATGGCACGAAAGTAACACTATGAGGTTTCTGGACTGCCATTTCTGCAATCAACGTCGACCTAATAGTTTACATTAGTGTCCCTTTAAAACGACATGAATTAATTCATCGACACAATGAGCTATCAGCTTTCATAAGCTATTTACAATGAAAAATAGTCCAGCAGCAAGATGGCGGCAATTATCAACCAGAACACCAATATGTCTTCTTTCTCATTTTGCCTCCCTTCACGACGGCGAATAGTTGCGACACCGCAACAATATATTTGAATTTGATGCAATTTTCCAATGAAAACCTGTTGGAAGTCAGCGCCCGTCTGGCTGCAGCGGTAGCCATTGTGCCAGACGCATCAGGTGTTAAGCAAAAATGTGCTTTCCAGCTACATGAATATTATTCAGTGAAGCCGTTTTCCAGGAGACTAGCCTGCGCATGCGCAGTGGCTGTGACGTTACGCGCACCATAATTTTTAGGGACCACTGGCATAAAGTTTCTCACAAAAATACCTAGAAAGAAATCTGGTGCCATCGTCTATGCGAATCTTTTAAGGGGCCTCGTTGAAGCGCTGGATATGATGGTATATGTGTCTGCAAGGCTTGTGTTGACTGGTGTTGAGTGAGGCTTCAGCTCAAAAGTGAATACCACTGTGTCTAAAACAAAACCTTAATAATCGGATCTCATCCACGCATATTATATTCTAAAATAAAAGTCCACTCACTTTGACGGCACTACCAAACGGCGAAAGAAAAAAAACAGATGACATAAAATGGCTGAGGGAACGCTGGCTTTGTCGTCTGCCTGCCAAGTTTAGCGGCCGTTGGTTACTTTTTACGCTTCGTAAAACTGTACATCGACGCAGAAGTTTGAATGTTAAATAAAACACGTTTCTATGCAATGGCAAAACATAAATTGTTCATTACATGCTCTTTTCGTCAGAAATCAACCATTTTAACATGAAGCCAGACGAGTCTTCAAGGTATACAAATCCGCGTCAAGTTCAAAGCTCACATATCCCGGAATTCCTTTGCATCCTGCAGGTCCGCCAGATTTCCTGCTAGGTAAGTTTGTGAGAAACCCTATAGCCACTGGGTGGGGCCATTTGCAAATTATCATGAAAAATACCTGGCCCTCGAGATTTTCTACCAACAACTTCAGAGGCCACAGACCCCCAGTTTCAATTGTGGCGATCTTCACTGGAGGCGCTGTTCGGGACAGAAAAAAGCGCATTCCACTAAGCTAAGAGCCTAAGGCACTAATGAGTAAGAGCCTAGGGCGCTAATGAGTCCACCCCGTACAAAGGGCCACACATCATCATTGCTTTTTTTGTCCGTCATGCACAGTACTACGTTCAAAAACGACAAACCAACAAACCTAATATTGCGCATAAAATAAACTCTCCAGACACTTTTAGACCAAGTTTGTAAAGTTAAAATTAAGAACTATAAGCTGATCCAATATATCAGGACCGATTCGGTCCCTTCTTCAGGGGTGACTGTTCGACCAGCTCCGAAGCTAGCGCCTAATATTCAACACTTATCTGCTTATCGGGACGTTGACTCTAGAGACATCCAGTTTTTCGAGGATTTTAACTTCCGAGCGCGTCCGCATACCGTTCGAGCGCACGCGACAGGTGCCACGATCCGGGGAATTAGCATGCAGTACAAGATGGTGAATGGATTGATATGGCTGTGCCAGGTGCGTAGCCAGAAATTTTTTCGGGGGGGGGGGAGGATACCATCTCAATTTCGGGAAGGGCACCCCCTTAAAATGGCCATTTTTTGCTCTCTATGCCATGGTGGAAAAAAATTTGGGAGGATGGGGGGGGGGGGGGGGGGCACGTGCTTGATGTGCCCCCCCCTGGCTACGCCCCTGGGCTGTACCCTTTAGATCAATCAGCGGCTAATGCCACCTAGTCGTAACACCAAGTGAACAATAACTAAGTTTATCTCTTTTTTTTATGGTGAAGTTAAAAAACGTTTTCAAGTAACCATGGAATGAACTATCTGGAAGAGCTTATTGCCTCACAAATTAAACGGCTCAAAAATTTTGAAGATTCGTCCAGTACGAGTAGAGTTACAAAGATTCGTCGCATGCTGCAATTGCATTCTCTCTTCTCTCGTCCCGACGAAAGCGCTGGAAGAAAAGAAAGATGCAGGCGCAAAAAAAAAAAAAAACGTCACACGCGCCTTGTGACCTTAAGCTCTTTTTCCTTTATTTGTCTTCAAATGCTCGAATGCGCGGCTTTTTCTGTGTGATCGCGCGCGCGTGTGTGGAAACGTATACTGCTTGTTATGGCATTCTTGCTTGGCTTTAACTACGAAATGGGAACGAGCAATCGTTTTAATGGACCGATCAAGCCGTTGGCTTCTTCGGGAAAATCATTTTCTTTCACCGAAAATGAATAGCATCATATCTGTCCTGTCAAAGCTGCTGTGAGCCGATGATTGTGACGAAAATATCTTTACATGGTTTAGTTTTGCCGTAACTGGAAGCACCAAAAAAAGGTCAGCCATGTGTGTGTGTGGTGTATATATATATATATATAATATTATATATATATATATATATATATATATATATATATATATATTATATAATAATATTATATATATAATATATATATATAGTCCTAGTAGAATCCTCCGTGAGCGGTCAAACGTGGTTATTCGACGTTTCGGCCTAGCACGTCCTGGCCTTCAGCAAGATTCCTAATGAAAGGCCAGACTCTAGGCCGAACGACTCGAAATAACCACGTTGTGACCGCTCACGGAGGATTCTACTAGACTATATATATATATATATAGATATATATATATATATATATATATATATATATATATATATATATATATATATGGCTGACGAGTGAGGTAGGTTTGCCCCCTCATTCGCGAAAGAGTTGGTACGCCACTGACTTTGAGTGATTTTTGGGGCTTATTCCGTGATTTGCCGGGAGAAGAGAAAGCAATTTTTAGCTGACTGATAATTTATTGTGAATTCCAGGCCGCGTGCTGCGCTATAATATTTGGCTCGCGTGTTGTCGGGAGCTTCTACTACTGATCCCCCGTGTTTTTTGGCCATGCTCAAAAAGTGCTGCAGGTCCCCTATAAGCACTGGCGCTTTGCAGTGAAGAGCTTAATTTTCACTCGTGCTTTGATTGTAGGTACAAATCAGATAACTTCCTTCTAGTAAATTCTACCCACATAAAGTCTATTTGTCCTCCCTGTCCTTAAGCCCCAGTGCTTTGAAGAACTCTGCGCCATCATCCTGAACTATAAGGTGAAGCCCTTTACAGAACTTGATAATATCAAGTGTTCGGCAGTTTCCTCCTCTCCACACGCACCGCATACCGTGTCTACCCCTTCGTATTTGGCCTGATAAGTATTGGTTCGCAATCCTCCCGTCCTCGCCTCAAACAGTAGAAAACTACCCCGAGTATTATCATAGATCATTTCCTTGGCAATTTCCTGCTTTAAACAGTTCGATAGATCTCCAGTGCGGACTTCTAGATGGATGGATTGAATGAATTGATATGGTTTTACCCTTTAGATCGGACATAGAGGCACATAAGCGCATCAACACTCACCTCGCCGACGTCCCGGATCATCACTCCGCTGGTGCAACTCAAGAGCTTCGAAAGGCCGCTGCGAAGTCCAAACTTCGCGCCCAGCAACCAGCCCAGGGTCAGCCCCGAACCCAGGCCCAGCAGGAGCGACACGCCATTTGCCATCAAAGCTGACCCGATGGACTGCATGCCGCGCCTACGTATCGTCGCGACAACCTACGATAATTGGTTGCGTCATGTTAACGCAGCCTGCCGCGTACACGTGGAGGTACCAAGCAAGAACAAACACGCGCTCACCTCGCAAACGTCCCGCGTGTCCTAGCTATCAGTCCGCCGGCGTTGCCCTGCAACCAAACGATAGGGTCAGGCCACGTTCAGTGAAATCGACGCACTTATTGACATGAAAGTGCCGCCATCATACCGTCAACGCAGCCTGCTCTCTTCTGCCAATCTAGTTGCTTCGGCACAAGTACAGTGTACTAGAATGGCTTCTAGATCGCCGTAGCACACGGACGAAGCAGCGGGTCAGCTCGCACCGCTGGGCGCCGCCATTTTGCTTGCATCAATGTATCCAGCCCTGTGCATTTCTTAGTGAACTTCGGCGATTTTGACCGTATCTATCTAACCTATGTATACGACTTTTAGCTCTCCTGGACATTTCGATTATGATATCGATACCAAAATTGGTATGGCATAACATGACTGTATGACGAGCATAAGTGACTAATCATAACATAAAAATCACTGACTGTATGTCATGATTTACATGGTCTTGCTGCTCTTGCGAAACTGGCATATGGTATGACATGACTGCATGCCGAACATAAGTGATAGACCCTAACGTAGAAATTATGACATTCATGTGATGTAAATCATGACTACACGCAACGATCATGGTGCGTTCGCGGTCGTTTCGTTAGCTTCACACGTACCAAATTTGGTGTTGCGAGACGTGCGAAGGTATATGACAGGTGCAAACACATGATAATCATGATGCATGTCATGTAAGAACAGGACTACATGTCAAGGTCATGATGTGCTCAGCGGCCGTTTGGCTAGCTTTCTATATACCAAATCAGTATTACGAGGCGTGAATGGACGACGAAGGTAAATACACGAGGAAACATGATAATTATGACATGCGTGTCATGTCTAAACATGACTACAAGCTACGCTGTTTGCGGCCGTTTCACTAGCTCGTGACGTGAATAGACGACGAAGGTAAATGACACGTCGACATGGAAGTCATGTACGCGGCATAATTTACGTCCATGCTCGTAGTTAACGTTGTGTTAATTTTAAAGTGACATGCCAACTTTCCTATGTCGTGCTTGGCATATCATCGATTCCCACTGTACGTGGGATCAGCCAATTCTTTTATTGCAATAGCAATTACCTATATGGACACTCTCCCGCTGGATTTTGCCACCGGCGTCACTCACAATACATGTATCGTCATCATCAGCACAGTGGCGTAACTAGGGGGGGGCAAGGGGGTACAAGTGCCCCGGGCGCCACTAGGGAGGGGGCGCCAAGCCGAGTCCTCGGGTTGGCGCCCCCTGGAAAGGTTGTCAATGTTTTTTTCCGTAAAACCGCCTGGAAGGGGGGAGGGGCGAGGTTGTAATGTACGACTGGAAGTGGGGATGGTGGTGAAGGAAAGGGTTGCCGCAATGGCTTTTGCATCGGGAAAAGGATCCTCTATTTTCATTTTGCTGCGCTACCTCCGTGCCTTCCCATGACCCTCGGCTAAGCTTTGTTTTGTGCTCCGCAGCACTGGGTTAGATGAGTTTCAGCGAACCCCACCAGCCTCCCAAACCACTTACTGAAAGCTTCCCTGAAACCAACCACGTACGTAAACAAAATAAAATAAAAAAGTTCGAATGCACCTTTTTTGAGTAAGAACAGAAAACTCCAACGAAATAGCCGATCGTCCAACGACTAATCGTCCACGCAGCGGCGGAAGGAAGGGCGAATATAATCCGTGACCTCGGCACCAAAGGCTAAACAAAGGCGTTTATTCGCAGAGTTCTCTGGAGGAAAGACGGAGAAAGCGTGACACGACGGCGACGTTTGTTGATTCCCTGCATCGCGGGCGCCAGCAAAGCAATAGAAGGGCGGGGGTCAACGTTTCCCACATGCCATCCACCGCCATGGGCAGGTTCATCCTTTGGCCCAAAGAACACGCACCTGCGAAAAAAGCGCAGAGCGTAGTGTACCCGACAGCATGTGCCGACTGCCCCGCTTCGTACGTTGGAGAAACCAAGAACTTCCCTGAAAGAATGCGGCCGCACAAGGATGACCTCCATCAATGGAACAGCGAACGGAGCGAAACGGCAGAACACTCCGACCAGTTTAACCCCCATACCAGACCCGAGGGCGCGGTGTCTAGCTGGTTGCTTTGTTTTGTACTCACCCTGCATTCCTTGGGATGCACAAATAGCGCGAAAGCTTAGGTACGAGAAACTTGGGCCTGGGAAGCGCCCGTGCCGTCAAGATTTTTGCAGTGTGGACTGGAAGAGAACAATGACGGGTAAGGGACTTCCGGAAGTTTGAATAAAAAAAGAAAAATACTATACAAAAACGCGGGCGTAGCTCATCGAAATCAGAACTGGTGGCCCTTGGCCTCCGAAATGGCCCGCCGCGCGCCAGTAGGCAATCGCGGAAGCCTACATTAGCGCTAATAATAATAATAATATAATAATAATAATAATATTATTTAATATTATTATTATTATTATTATTAATATTATTAATATTATTATTATTATTATAATTAATATTATTATTATTATTATTATATAATAATAATAATAATAATAATAATAACAAACATTATCACGGGCATAATGAGGGGCGCGGAAATATATTTGCCCTGGGCGCCGTCCTATCTAGTTACGCCACTGCATCAGCATGAGTATACGTCCACTGCAGGACAAAGGCCTTTCCCATGTTCCGCCAGTTAACTCGGTCCTGCTCTTGCTGCTGCCAATTTATACCCGCAAACTTCTTAATGCCATCTGCCCACCTAACCTTCTGTCTCCCCTAACCCGCTTGCCTTCTGTGGGAAACCATAGTTACCTTTGATGGCCAGCGGGTGCGCACTAGATGCCGGCCCATGTCCATTTCTTCATCTTGATTTCAGCTATGATATCCTTAACCCCCGTTTGTTCCCTAATCCACTCTGCTCTCTTCTTGTCTCTTAAGGTTACACCTACCATTTTTCTTTCCATTGCTCGCTGCGTCGTCCTCAATTTAAGCTGAACCCTCTTTGTAAGTCTCCAGGTTTCTGCTCCGTAGCTAAGTACCGGCAAGATACAGCTTTTATATACCTTCCTCTTGAGGGACAGTGGCAATCTATCTGTCATAATTTGAGAGTGCTTGCCAAATGTGCTCCACCCATTCTTATTCTTCTAGATAATTCAATCTCGTGGTTTGAATCTGCGGTTATTACCTGCCCTAAGTAGACATAGTCTTTTACAACTTGAAGTGGACTATTACCAATCTCGAAGTGCTGCTCTCTTCCGAGGTTGTTTTACATTAATGTACGAAAGTAATTACTTTCGTTTTCTGCAGATTAATTAAGACCCACCTTTCTGCTCTCCTTGTCTAACTCGGTAATCATGAGTTGCAATTCGTCCCCTGAGTTACTCAGCAATGCAATGTCATCGGCGAAGCGCAGGTTACTAAGGTACTCTTCATTAACTCTTATCCCTAACTGTTCCCATTCTAGGCTTCTGAAAACCTCCTGTAAGCACGCGGTAAATAGCATTGGGAGATTGTGTCCCCCTGCCTTACACCCTTCTTGATTGGTATTCTGTTGCTTTCTTTATGAAGCACTATGGTAGCAGTTGATCCCCTGTAGATTTCTTCCAGTACGTTTATTTATGCTTCATCGACGCCGTGATTCCGCAGTGTCTGCATGACTGCTGATATTTCAACTGAATCAAACGCCTTCTCGTAATCTATGAAGGCTATGTATAGTGTGTGGCTATATTCTGAACATTTCTTTACCACCTCATTGATAGTATGAATGTGGTCGATTGTTGAGCCTGTTCTAAATCCTGCTTGCTCCTTTGGTTGATTGAATTATGTTTTCTGTTAGCAATTACCTTTGTAAATAGCTTGTCTACTACGGAGAGCAAGTTGATCGGCCTATATGTATACGTATATATATATATGAAAACGCAAGAAAGTAAAAAATCCCGAAGACGACTCCACCGCGCGAAATCGTACGTGGAACCTCTGAGTCGTGAATGCGAGGCGTCAACCACTGAGCCACCGAGCAGCACCCCCTTCATCGTTCAAACGGCAAACTATTTATCACGGCAACTTATTTATCTACCACTTACCGCTGGTGATGGGCATCTTGGGTGGGGGGGCTACCATGTTTTCAGCATAGAGAAATAAAGGTTAAGAGTGGACACTCCGGTAGACCCCAGCGGCCCAATCGACCCTAGCACACCTAGTGGTTGGTAAGAGCAAGTGGCGTGCGCTTCCTGTTTCGGTTTCACTGGCGCAAATTTTGAATTACTTTGCATAACCGACGTTTGGCTATGACGAAAGTTCATGATTTCAGACCACTATTCATCGCCCAAATGGATAGTTTTTGTAGGTCGTTTTGATTTAGCGATTCCCTGTTTTGTTTTGTTCAGTGGTTCGTGCGAATCGGTCGTGACGTAATTTTTATTTCGATTAAGTTATAATAAAAAGAGATGCAGGTAATGATAATTCACTACGGTTTTATTCATTGCGCTTGTGTTTTTTTTTTGGAACGAGTGATCAATGTATATATCAGTCAAAGAGACAGAGTATCCGTAATGTTTTATTCAAAGGCAAGGTAGAGTCTGAGAATATAAAAAGCACAATATGACAAAGGTAGACATCAAATGCATCTCGCCTTACAAATAAATTGTAACAAATACAGAGAGAACACAGACAACGCACACATCGCTAGAGTTGGCAGAAGCCGAGAAGCTGGTGAAGTATGACACACCGGGCCAGTGGGTAAGTAGGGATCTATGGCAAAAACACAGCGCACAATGCTGATGAAGAAGGAAAAAGTGACATATACACAGCAATGAAGTCGCGAATCACGCCTGGGGTTAACCGAAATAATGCATATAAAAAAAGAGCACACAGAAACCACACGACACAATATAGCAGAAAGGCAAAGGTGCAGTGTGCTGGCTGTGCTTAAGAACAGCTAGTCCAAAATGAAAAAAAGCAGACTTGATGCCTGCTTGTCCTCAGAAAGGTAGGGCTTTGCAGCTTGCTCACTACTTGAAAGACAAACTTTATGCTACAACACTAGCAGGTTTTGTGGCTTTTGTTATGCGTCGCCTTCATCAAAAACTTAAGATCCCAAGTGATTTGCGTCTGGGTGTTGCTGTGACGCTTGCGAGCTAAAATAGATTGTAGTCATCACTTATCCAGAATTGTTGATTGATTGATATGTGGGGTTTAACGTCCCAAAACCACTATATGATTATGAGAGACGCCGTAGTGGAGGTCTCCGGAAATTTAGACCACCTGGGGTTCTTCAACGTG